TTTTCTACAGATGCAGATCTGGTCTGCGACCATCCTATCGATCAGCATCCTATTGAGTAACTCTTTGAAGCTTCGCGCTGCCACTGCCGGGCCAGTTCCTGAGGACGGTGATGGTCAATGGTCGCAAATGTGTCCTATGTGTTGTCAGGGACAATCTGGAATACCCGGCATTCCTGGATTACCAGGTCAGCTGGGAGGTCCAGGGGTCAAAGGTGAAAAGGGTGAGATCGGGCCCATTGGCACTGTGGGCGAGAGGGGAGCGCCTGGAAACCCTGGGTCCAAAGGGGACGAGGGTTTAGGTTTGCCGGGTAAGATGGGACCTATGGGTCCACCGGGATTGGTTGGATCAACTGGGGCACCTGGTGTCAAAGGTCACAAGGGTGGGATGGGTCCTGTTGGCCCTATCGGAGCGCAAGGACCACCTGGAAGCACTGGGCCTAAGGGAGATGACGGGATAGGCCTTCCCGGCGAGACAGGTCCGAGAGGTCCACCTGGTTCAGAAGGACGAGCAGGGGCGATTGGTTCGAAAGGTCAGAAGGGGGAGCGTGGGGATTCTGCGCACCGGGTAGCATTCACCGTGACCAGGATATCCCCCTCGGCTATCTCAAGCAACAGTGACACCCACTTACCCTTCGACCAGACAGAGACGCTTCTCCCAGGTACCGTCTTCGATCTAGAGACTGGCACGTTCACATGTACCGTTCCGGGTACTTACTTTTTCACGTTCTCTGTGCTAAGGCCTTCAAGGTTCAGAGAATCTGTTCGGGTTCATCTAAAAAAGAACGCATACGGAGTCGTCTCTGGTGAAAGCCACGAAACCATTGGCGGTGGCAATCAGGTTTCTGCAAGCGCCGTGCTGCTCCTGCAGCAAGGCGACTCGGTGTATTTAACATATCATGGGCAGGCTTATGGTTGGAGAACCACTCACTTCTCTTCTTTCAGTGGCTTCCTCCTTTACGCACATTAAGTACACATGACAATGCAAATTGCAATGTGGTGTTTATTCTTCAATACAATGAATATGTAATTATACTCTTCTGCTGAATAGGCTATGTAAAGTAAAATATGCATAATAACTTCAAGCTTTCTGGTTTAAGGAACAGTGCTTCTGCAGTGGCATAATTTACGGTGAATATTTGCAAAGAGCCGGTTCTTGTTAAAACGGCAAGATCCGGTCCTTTTCGAGGACAAAGCACGTGAACTTGATTATGCTCAATGTTATTTTGTGATTCTGCGTGCAGACATGCTGGGCTTTTGGTACATGTCGACATGCAAATGTAATGCTCTAAATGGTCCTCTGTTGTCGGCTTTTTTTTTCAAACTCCGCAATTTCCCCATTTAAGACAAAGCCCAAGACATGGTGACTGCATCTATTCGCTCCGTTGAAAGCTCCACCTAGACTTTTCCCAGGCCAAAGCCAGACTGTCTGGCAGACCCCAACATAATGTGTGCGTACAAAATAAATACCGCTCATTCAGAAATACCAAAAGAATTCTGCTTCCCCGCCATTGTTCAATTTTTTTC